CGCGTGGAACAGAGGGGGCGCTCCTGGCACAGTGAGCCCGCCGGGCCGCTTGCTGCCGCCCGCGGAGTCTCAAAAGGCGGCCCAGAGCCCTGGACTCGCTGCTGGAGTTTCTCTTAGCCGCTCTGGGGCGGGAGCGAGGACGGGTTGGACCCTAGAACGTGCGGGGCCACGGTGGACAAGGGCGCCTCCACGCAATCCCCACTCCCAAGAGTCAGGTCCTCGGGCCGGACCCGATATTCCGGCTGCTCATCTTCCTCTGGGGCGCCCTGCTCATGCCACCTGCTGGGCTACCCAGCCTTTCTCCCGGGCCAGACCTCGGCTAAGTGGTGGAGCCATTAGTGGGCAGAAACCAGAACAGAGCGCCGAGCGATCCCCAAAGCCTCTTTCTGCAGCGCGGTTGCGAGACGGGAAGCGAGCGTGCACCGAGCAGGTAAAATAAGGAAATGAAAAAGTAACTTTAAAAAAATCCTTTTAAGAAAAATAATAAAAAGGACCAAGAAGAGCTACGGTCTCCAGGTGAGAGAGAGGGTGGTGCCTCCGTCCAGTTGGGATCCTCAAGGACTTTGGGGCTCGGAACTGTCCCTCGGCTTGCTGAGGCCGGTCGGTGTAGGCGGCCGCGGGGTTCCAGCCTACATGGGGAGCGCAGTACCTCCAGCCCCTCTGCCTGCGCGCCTTCTCCCCTGCCTTCTTGGAATCCGAGATCCCACCCCTCTCCTTCCCGCGCGCCTCCCGTGTTTCTTGGGGTCCGCACCTCCATCAGTCCTCCCGGAGCTCGTCCTGCGCGCCCCTCCCTGAGCTCCCCAGGCTTTGAGACTCGCGATTTGGTGTAAGGTCGGTCCAGAGAAGAAATAGCTCTCGCCCCGGGGGAGCCCAGGCTAGACGGATTAAAGAAACTCAATTTAGGGGCCGCTGGAACCAGCACCCCCGGATGTAAAGGGAGGGTCCTCGGTATTGTCTCGCTGTCTGGCCACTTGGGTCAGTTTTTGTTTGTGAGCAGATACAGAAGGGCACCGTGACAGCGCAGCCCCAGATGAAAGTCTCAGTGCATCCTCGGGCGAGCCCTAGGCGAGTGAGTGCCCAGAGGATGCAGGGGAGTGGGGTAGGTTTCCCTGCAGAAGGGTAAGGACAGGCGTGGACGTGGCCAGGTGGACGCAGAGGCCGGAGGTCTATCCTGACCGCGATTTGGAGCGTCCGCTCAGGATTGTAGGGAGCAGCCGCGGGCGAGCTTTGCGCGGTAACCGCTTGGCGTGGCTCGGGGAACCAGTCATAGCACCGGCTACGCCCGCCAGGAACCCCAACCCGCCCCGCTCCCAGGTGCTCCGGGCCTGGACAAGGCAGGTAGGGGCCGGGGAAATAAAAACAAACAAACACAAAACGCACCGTGCAGCTCCACCGGCGCCTCGCTGCCCGCTCTAGCAACCCGATGAACACTTTAAAAAACAAAGGCAGGAGGAAAGCAACCTATTAGGTGCTTTTATCTGGCGCACAGCCTGGAGGTCGGCCAGAAGGCGGCTGTTTAGTTCACCCAGACTGTGCTTGGGGAGTTTGGGCGAGGGCCCCGGGCGCGCCGGTGGCCGGGAGCCCTTCCCGCCCAGTCCCGCAGCATCCAGTGGTCCTCCCGAAACCCGCCAGAGGAGGGGCAGCGAGAGAAGGGTGTTCGGCACGGATGGCGCCCTTGCGGACACGGGCGGAGCGGAGCGGTGCCTGCTCCACGACTCGTGGAAGGGGGAGGACGGAGGATGGCTGGAACAGAAAGGGCCACGGGGACCTGAGACACGGGGAATCCGGCCCTCGCCAGGCACATGGGAGTTGCCAGGGTGGTCTCTCCAAATTCCGAAACCTACTTACTGTGGTGCATTGCCGGCTCGGCCACCCCACCCTTCACAAGCCGCAAGATAGCCTTCGCGTCGCTTCATTTCTTTATTAAACGTGGTATCTGCGCTTCTAGAGAACACAGTACAGTTGCCCTTGGTGAAAACGTTTTTCGCGCGCTGTCCTGCCGCCGATTCCCGCGGGCCTGGGAGGACCGCTGAGCCGGTTCTCGGAGCCCCCGGCGCAGGCTCCCATCAGCCGCACATTTCCTCGCGGAGCCCGGGAGGCTCTGACTCACTGGAGCAGCTTTGCTCGCTGAGCTGAACTTCTGCCCGCGGGTGTTTGATTTCCGCGCTTTGATTTTTTTTCTACTCAGCACCACAGTTTTTCAAAATCACTGGGAATCTTAGGCACCGCTGCCAGCGGGAGACCTTGGGTTGCACCAGCCGTGGGCGTTTCCCCGAAGCTGGAGAGGTGGCATGGGTGGTCGGGTAACAGGGAGAGGGCGCAGCACTGCGTGCACCCCCTTTCAGACAGCCCGGGGAGTCTCGCCAGCCTTGCCGGGACTGGGCTCCGTGGCCGGACTCTGCTCCAGCTCAGAGAGTCAGAGAAGCAGTGTGGGTGGCAAATGCAAGTGAACCACCATCCTGCCCCTGCACCCGCTACAACCTGGCTCTGGGTGTGGGCCCCCTAGAGCGCGCCCTTTCCTGGGCCTGGGGCTGCTGCAGCGCAGGGTAGAAGGCCCAGGTGGCCCGGGGGTTGGCGATTCCAGCGATTGCGGTGCAGATAGGTGTGCGGAATGGTAAAGGCAGAGATCACCCTCAAGGCATCATCCTTCACGGGGTCACACAAGTCCAGCAACTGCAAAACAGGACACAAAGGATCAGGTCAGATGCCGGCCCCCTCACAGAGGCTGGACGCCCACCCCCAGCAGCCGGATTTCCTGGGAACAGGAGGGTAAATACCTTCGATTCTGAATAACCCTCACAAGCCTTTTTCATCTTAGGAATTCTTAACTCGGTGACACCTAGTCTGGCAGAAGCCCACTTATTCCTTAAAAGGGTGGGGGTGGACTCCAAATCAGCTGGGAGCTCCAGACCAGAGACTGAGAATTTATCCCCACCCCCACCCCCTCTGCCCACTCCTACAGCCTCCTCCTCCCTCGGGTCCCCTCCATAGTGCCTGGAGTGCCACCCTCTGGTGCTCACAGGCAAGTGAACTGGTAGAACTTAAGAGCCATTGAACTTCAGAGGCCAGCTGGGTTCTCCCCAGCAGCACGTCCCTCCCCGGCCCCCACCTCCACCTCCCGTGTCTCCCCCTACGTCCACGCCCACCCCTAGGGTGGCAGCAGGCCACAGCTCCTAAAATGCCAAGCAGTGGTTGACTGCTTTGGGGGGGGGGGGGCATTGGCAACTGTGCGTCTTCCCCTGGCAGCTGCTGGAAATCCACCTCCTGCAGTCAGCGCCAAGGAACCCTCCAAGGCCTCCCCACCTTCCCGTGTCTTCTACAACCACTAGAAGGCAGGATAAGACATCCCAGCAGAAGGGAGGGGGAGATGCAGTCCAGTGATTTTGGAGACGCTGCAGTGGGTGTATTTTATTTCATTTTCCAGGGTTTAGATGCCAGTGCATTTTTATCACACCCCCCCCCTTCTCCCCCTGCCAAAGCTACCAAAAATAATAGATTGCTTTTCTAACAGTAAACAATGGCTTCCCTTTCCATTAACCAGCTACACACTATTCTCTCTTTTTCCCGTTTTCAGTCAGCTGTAAATTTCTTTCACCAAATTACAGTTCACCCCAGGTTTTCATGGTTTACTTTTATGGTTTTAAACACATCACCTAACCAGCCACACCTTTGCCCTCTTGGGAGTGGTCATCCCTGGAGCGACACTGAGGCTGTTGGACCACAGTTCCTTGGCAGCAGTCCCAAACGAAATTCCAAGTGTTCAGAGAAGGGGAGTGGGCGGTCCAAAACTGGGGTGAGGGTGGCATGGGGGAAGAGCATGAATTTTCATAGTCCCACAATACAGTACCTCCTCCTTTCAAATGTGCTCTATTACATCAGTAATTTCTAATGAAAACCTTCATTCTTTATGCACTGTGGTTAAGCACCATCAAATCAGTACTGAAAAGACTTTGATCATATTTGCAAGAGGCACCGTGATGAACTTTCGCTGACCAAGATTTCAAAGTTTGTAATTAATACTCTTGACAAATCCCTGAGTAATCTGTCAGCTCTCAAAGTCTTTAACCACAAAGTTCAAAACCATGAGATGGGTAGTCCCTATACCTCCTACATATTGTGATACCAGTATTCAAGGTCATTTTTCCTTTGGGTTTGCATTAGAAAACTCAACCAATTTTTTTTTTCATATACTGAACAACGGGGAAAATTCAATAATAAAATAGACTAAGTTTAAAAAGAAGGAATTGATGGCTGGTGCAGAAGAGGTTGCCTCACTCGCACTTGTTCAGAGAGTCACCCCTCCAATGACACTGAAGAGGAAGCTATGTGATGGGAAAGACCAGAGGTTGACTCTCAGACTCTTTAGGGTCTAGATCAGTGGTTCTCAACCTTCCTAATGCCGCGACCCTTTAATACAGTTCCTCATGTTGTGGTGATACCCAACCATAAAATTATTTTTGTTGCTACTTCATAACTGTAATTTTGCTACTGTTATGAATCGGAATGTAAATAACGGATATGCAGGATGTATTTTCAGGGGTCGCGACCCACAGGTTGAGAACCGCTGGTCTAGATGGAAGGATCAGGCATTGTTCCTGTTATAATGCGTTTCACAGTGATCCCAGGTATTCTCCCACCTCTGCCTGTGAGGAGGATCATCATCATCCTTTCACTTACGGAGTATGCACTGGGATGCTCGCCTGCATTAGGGACCATGCAGGGCTTCGTGGTGCTCCCTGTGGGACTTTTTACAAATATGATCTTAATAAAAAATAA